AAAGCCTCTGTTAAGGATAAAATCATGATAGACATTATTATTTTTTATTTCCCTCTCCTAAAAAGGAGAGAATTTTATTGCTTTTACATTTCAGAAAGTTAGGAAGGGTATATAGTGGGGTAAAGAAAAATGTTGAGTGATGTTAAAAATTAGTATTTTAATCTTTTATTAGTAAAGTCAAAGTCAAAATATTCTTCTGCAGCTATCTTTCAAAACCGGTTAGTTAGTGTGTTAATAGTGTCCCTTTGGGGTTAGTATTATCTTTTATTGCGCTTTCCGAACTAGTTCTCAAACGTTGGGGTGCTTCCCTTTTTTGTCTCTTATATTGTATTTTGGCCCTCTAGCCGCTCCTTTGTCTTCCTCATCTTTCACCTCTCCCTCCGAGCTGCTGTCTTCTTCCCTAGTTCCTGCCATCCACTTAGCAAGTTCTGCCTCGTCCTCTGAGCTGGCGTGCCTCTTCAAAAAGTCTTGAGCCTTGAAGATGGAGTCTATCTTTTCTCTTCTGTCTTTAAACTTAAAGACAAGTCCCCAAGTGCCCCGATGTGCGCACGGAGGGGGCAACTTGGCTATTAGATATATAGATATGAGATACCAATAATAAAAATATTACTTGTAATATTTACAAGTAATTAATTATTTGTAATCTTTATGGTGTATAATATTACTAGTAACTGCCGTTCTGTTTTACCATTATGTTTTCACCAGCTGATCAGAAATAGCCACCTGACAATCCTTGTCTCCATTGCTCGTTATTATTGTCGTCATTTTGGTGGACTTGGTGATAAGCTCTCTGTTGACTCTGTGTGTTGGGTTAATAAATTAACATCAGTAAATGTAGGTTGTAGAACTGAAAACATTAGTGTATTTCACTGTTTTGAATTTGCTGAATCAGAGTTTAATTTGGTGTTTGGAATTTGATAGCCTATGTTAGCCAAATTGCTCTTTAGGAGAGACAATTGGAACAGTGCATTAATAGGGATTCGGGTCAGTGTCTACGGAGGATGGGCTGCGCCAATACGTTTCAATGAAGAGACAAAGACAGAAGTAAAATATACTTTGGTTTACTAGATACCATTCAAAGCGCATAATAACATTCACACACACAAGAACTAAGTAAGAACAGATAGATTTGGTAAAGCACGGTTGCATTAGCGGGTGTATCGTTGGGGGGCGATATTTACCTCAGGCGTAGCACGGCTCCTAAATCTTCCAGCGGGAAGGAGGTTAGGGAGGGAAGAAAATGGTAGAAGCACGTGTAACAGACCAGCTGAGAACACGTGTATTGCCTTAGCTGCAGACTAAGGTAAAGCGAGTCAAGGGATTGGTACAGGGAGCTGGATAAGAGAGGAATAGCAGACGTAGAGGGGTCGTTATTAAAAGGGAAGATGGCGTGGCCGCTCTGTGTTCTATCTTTTAAGGTCTCTTGCGAGTGGGGAGGGGGTGGGCCCAAGCGGATTACCAGGTGGCCCTACCCCAAGGGTCAGTGATTGGCTATGAGGTCAATTTTCAATCTATTGATTAACCTGAGAGGTGGTACCTGGGAGGAGGTACGTGCAAGGAGGCCAGTAGTGCTGAATCATCTGTAGCCATGTGGAATGAACATCCTATTGTAGTCTGGCAGTGGGGGAACTCTGAACTTAAACCTCTTATGTGGAGACATGCGGTCTGGGCTAACTAATGAGTTCTCTGTGTTTGCTGTGGGCTCTCTGTTTGCACATACATGATGAGCTGAAGACTCTGGGGCCCCTTCTGGAAGATGTTGACTCAGTGGATTATCAACTTCAGCTGGCAGCATCTCTGGGTGCCCTCAAGTTGAACTATTTATTTCACAATCTCTTTTATTAGCCCTTTGCATTCAGTTTTATTCCATATATTATAGTTCAGAAATAGCCCAATATGAACGTCTGGGCTAACACCTATGATATGTTTGGAATTTAGCCTTAATTCAGTTGGCTCATGTATGTTCCTTTAAGTAAAAACCAAGCTGCATTCTACTTGGGATTGAATTGCTTGGCCTGTGGATTGTGAATCTGATAGAATGCCCTGTTGTGGGAATTTGTATGAAGCAGACAAACAGTAAGAAAATAGTGATAGATGAGGTTATTCAGAAGCCGGGGCGGGGGGAGACTGACTACTACGACTGAAACTCATGGACGGGTGTGCTCAGCAGCTATGATATTAAGAAAAATGTGGATGAAAAGTAAACCCTTTCAAAATTTTAAGTAATGTAGTCAAGAATTTAAGACAATAACAAAAGGTGTTTCTCCCCCCTCCCCTTCTTTTAGGTGGTTGCAGTTTTGATGGTGGCCCAGGACCCTGTGATTACCATCAAGACCCATATGATGATTTTGACTGGGTTCATATTAGTGCTCAAGAGCCTCACTATTTGCCACCTGAGATGCCTCCAGGTAAGAGTTGCTCAAATAATTGAACAATCAGAGGAAAGTTATTTCTTGGGGGAGGAGGACGGTTTACTTTTTTTAAAAGCTGAAGGATGCAATTTGTTGAGCTACAGATTGCTGTTATTCAACAGCAGTCTGCTGTTAGTGAGCAAGCAAGATTTGGTGCAAGTGTATATTTTATCTGTATAATGGGAGCAAAGTTAAACACTTGTATTGTGCTTAAAAATGACAGTGAGATTGTGTGCATAATTGCTATGAAGTACTATAATATTTATACCAGATCAACAGAATTTAAGAATTAAGTATAAAGTACTGTGCAAATGAAGCTGCAGGGTTGCATGTTTCAAAAACTTTGTTATCAGGACCTTTGGATGTAGAGGAAAATTTGATTATGTGATTCAGTTCTGAGGCCTTTGTACTATTCACGTGTTTCCTGACAATGTTCTCAGTGAATACATTTTGAAGTTGTATTTGCAGAGAAAACACAATTATTTAAAGTGTTTTAATCCATTAATAGTGACAAAATCTTTTTATCTAAGAATAAGTGATGAATGAGAATAGCATACTAACTATTTATCTTCTACTTGCACCCCATTTATTTCATTTCCTGGAATAGTTTTCCACTGCTCCTTTCCATAAACTATTAGTACATGTTGAGTTATAATTGTGAGTCAAGTTAACAAAATAAGCTAATATCTAATCTATAATAATAGATCTGTGCTATATTAAGTACAGCTAATTATTCAAACTAAATATGCCACCATTTTAAATATTAAATTTGGAACATGAAATCTTTCATCTCAGTAACCAATTAGGAATTCCAAAAAAGGTCTGAATTTGGCAATGCAAAATGTTTGAATAAATATTTATGATCTTGGACATCAATAAATCTGTCCTTCAGTAGTTCCTTTATAAGCAGTTGGTTGTAAAAATAAGGTTCAGCTGGTGGTTTCCACCTCCTCCTCCTTAAAAAATACCAGGCTAAGATCCCACCATTCTGTGTGCAAGGTACTAGTAAAATTATCTTCTGACTCTTCATCAGCTGGGAATATCAGAAGGGTTCTGATTTATGGAAATGTTTCCATTGTTAATTACTACTGTGGACAAGATAATGAATAACTGAGGAGTTACAGCCTAGATGACCTTGCCTGCTCACCTTTGATGAACAGCTTAATCGGTGCTTTCTAGGCAGAATGATTTGCTAAGTAAAATGAATGCTTCTGAACTTCAAGAACATATTTCAATTAATACAGCATTAAATAATTAATCATGCGAAAGGAGGAAATAAGGTTGAGGCCACTTTACATGTGCCTCTGAACAACTTCTGTCTGTTTCGGGAAGGAAAAAGGAGCTCTTTTTACTGTAAATTAGACCAACCTGTTCACAAGTGCCTTTTCCTCTTCATCCATTTCCATAATTAATTTTAAAAGTGGGTATGCTTTGAGTTTGGTAATTAGCAATTAGGCTTGCACTATTATGTAGCTGCCATTGATAATGGTTGAATGCTACAGTGCACCTTCCTTGTTAAACAGTAACATATTAGGAATGCATTATACTTCTCCATGTCTCTCGGAAGATGCCTGAATGGTTTCCACACCCAGCCCCCAAAGGAAATTAACTAGCCTGATTTAAAGATGAACATGTAAGGGATTTATTATGTCATAAAGACACCTTTTCCTTACAATGGTACAAGCTGACTTCTTACGTTTAGACATAAAATATTGAGCATGTTTTTATAGCTATGCAACATCTAAATCCCCAAGTTGAGAATTTCAGAATTTAGTACACTCTCAAGCAAACCCATAAAATTGAAATTCTAGGCTAGGTGGGCTTTATTTTGCTTATCAGTTAGGTAAAACTGGAGTCCAGCATTGGCTCATAATTCAATATGTAGTACTAAGAACCTGTACATGCAGTGAGACTAAAGTCTTCACTCAGAGGTTTTTTGGTCCTTTCCTGAAAAGGAGAAACTTCATTGCCATGTAAGAGAGGAATATGACTGAAACATTAGTCCAGGGGTGTCAAACATAAGGCCTGGGGGCCGGATCCGGTCCGTCCAGGGCTTTTATGCGGCCCACAAGTATCTAGTGTAAGGGAGGGAACAGGAGCCTGCTTTGGGGGAGTGGGCAGAGCCACCTCGATTGTAGCTTCAACATGGTGGAACAATTTTGTCTACAGCAGTCAAGCAGTGTAGGAGTGTCTTCCCAGTGCTGCACCGCTGGTTGTCCACTCCACCCATGTGGGTTTTCCTTTGCACCTCCCTCCTAGTGCATGAGGGCTTGCAGTGAGGATACATCAGCTCAGGTTACCAGCTGCTGTCCTTACAATTTATATCTCTGGTACCTGCCATTATGTTTTATGGCACACGTGGTTTGGCCCAACAAAGTGACATTTATGTCCGATCCGGCCCTCATAACAAATGTGTTCAACACCTCTGCATTAGTCTTTTTAACTGAGGCTAAAGTGCTAATACCTTCCTCTTCCAATTTCATGGTGAGCGTCCATAGGCGTCACAGCAGACATTCCTGGGTCACATGCTGTCCATATATTTTTCACCTTTGCTCTAAACAGAAGTAAATTTGGTAGTCCTTTGTGATGGAGGAATGACCAGTACCAAGCAATCCAGAAGTTTTTCCAAGTACAGTCTACTAACCCCCATTTTAATGTGAATGCTTGCATTAGATGACTTATTTGTGGTTTTGACAATTTCACACGTAGACAAGTTGTTTACAGCTGTGCTGATCCAAAAGGAACGTGCAAAAAGCCAAGAACATAATTCATAATGAAGACCAACCCATTTGTTACCCAAAGAGGCAGTCCCCTATTTAATTGGGGGAATTAGCTTAAGGAGACAGAGTGAGAGGGGGTAATTGGGATTCTCCACCTATGTTTACAAGGATTCTTCCCTTAAGAGAACTCTCAAATAAACCAGGCAGATGTTCAGGTTTTTATTAAAAACAAATAAATTAAAAGGGCAAAACAGGTACAAAGCTCTCACTTAAACATGTACCAGGCTACCTAAAAGGTGATCAGGGAAGAGAGGGGAGAAAGCAATTTCAGGGAAGGCTATAATTACCAGTCTCGAAGGAAGAAGTTTACTGAGGCAGCAGCAAATGATTGGTGTTTCAAGGAGAGAAGAAGAGAAGACCCAAACAGATTTTGGGGTATGATGTATGGATCCGTGAACACACACACAGCACTGGTGGCTAGGGACTCCAGATATGGGGCAAAATGCTCCCTGGGGCAAGCTTGATGTATTTTTTGAGGTGGACAGTGATTTGGGAGAAGCTTGATGGGATTTTCTGGGGTGGACTATAGGTGTAAATGGGGCTTGATGACCCTGTAAGTACTGTATGGGAAAAGCTACCAGGTTGAGTGGATAGAATTAAGTCTTGCTTTATTAGGGTAAATGAGTGCAGGGAAGTGTGGCTGGGTGTTGATGAGATTAGTTCAGGTGAGTCAATAGGATCTTGGGAGACCAACTGCCCTAAATTATGCGTCTCTCCAGGGTGGGGAGGAGGTCATCAGCTAGCCAGCCACTCTTACTCAGACTTAAGGTTTGTTTCTGGCTGGCATTCCATTTTGTGTCATTTTGGGCTAGGCAGTGTATTATGATATTTGAGCTGATATAGGTTCGGAAGGGTGATTATGGTTTTTTTAGCTATAAACTGCCCCTCAGCAAGAGTCGGGATCGAACAGCTAACACATTGACATAAGAGTGTTGCAAGATTTTCATTTCCATATAACTCTTCATCAGGCAAGATGCTACAAAATAAAATTATATTTTAAAAATTTATTTCTTAAACATTTATATGCCGCCTTAGCTCAAGATTGCTCACAATAATAGTTAAAATATCCCCAGGTAAAACCGAAGTTAAATAAAAAGCTCCAGATCCTTCCCCCCTTAAAAGATGCTTGCTATTCAACCCCCCTCGAAAGCCCTGGAAAACAGTCAGGCTTTGCAGCACCTCCTAACGATCTCAAAGAAGGGGAGATAATCCACAGAGCCGCTACTCCAGCTAGGACTGGCGGATTCAGTCCCTCAAGAATATCAGCCTTCCAAACCAGCATTACCTTTGTCTTATCTTGATTTAGTTTCACTTTGTTCTGTCTTAACCACCTGACCACAGTCTCAAAGAACCAGTTCAAAACCAAGAAGGATGTGTCTGGAGGCTTATATGAAGAAATGTAGAGCTGGATGTCATCTGTATAATGGTAACACCCAACCTCGAAGACCATCTCATTCGGTGGCCTCACATAGACACAAACACAATATGTTAAAGAATATGGGTGAGAGAACAGAACCTGTGGCACCCAGTGAGATAACTTCCACCCAGTTGATTCTGCGCCTTTGGTAGAGATTAGGGTTGTGCATGAAAAAAAATGCATTTTTCATATCTGGGGATATCAGACTTGAAAAATATTGGTAAATACTGAATTCCCCCAGTCCGATAACGGTATAGTACAGTGGTGGCGAACCTATGGCACAGGTGCCAGAGGCGGCACTCAGAACCCTCTCTGTGGGCACGCGTGCCATCGCCCCAGCCAGGCCCATACCACTATTAAAGTGTCGAATTCTCTGCCAAATAATTTAAAGTAAATTAAAGCATTTGGGATTGCTTTCCTTACTTTGTTTGGATCATCTTAAGTTAATGTATGAGTTGTTTTTTCTAAAGTAAAACCTCAGTATTCAGGTTAAATTGCCGTGTTGGCACTTTGCGATAAATAAGTGGGTTTTGGGTCGCAGTTTGGGCACTCAGTCTCTAAAAGGTTCGCCATCACTGGCGTAGTACTTAGATTGGGGAAATATTTGGTATTTATGAATATATTCTACTCTATTACACCCACAGGGAAGAAAGGGAGTGTGAGAAGGCATGTTTAAATGCCTCCCCTCCCCTCCTGGAGCTGCCCTGCCACTTCCACTGGTCAGAGGTTTATGCCATTTAAACCTAACAGCTGACTGGTGGATGGGAATGAAACTGACCAGTGGAAGGGAAAGCATGTTT